ACTACCCAACCCTTTCCATGCAATCTGGCTGAGTCACAGTTAAGGTATGGGTGCCCACAGCTTGGATATTAGCTTAATTGGTATGATCTCTAGGCTATTAAGTATAGTTGTGACTGGGTAATAATTGCTCAGGGGTCTCAGTGCCTGCTTGGCAAGTGCAAGGACCTGGGTTCGATCCCTGGTACTGCATGCTGTGCAGGCCCCAGAAGGGCACACCGTGCTGGCCACTGAAACCGGACATGTTGGTGCATGCCTATAATCCCAGCACTAGGGAGACTGAGACAGGAGGATCACTGTGAATTTAAGTCCTGCCTGGGCTACACAGTGAGTTCTAGACAAGTTCATACAGTTTTCCTTGATAGAACCCTTCCTAAATCCTGCACAGCAACATTTTTATAAAACCAAAGCTCCCATCCCATGCTTGTAAGACCTGCTCACTAGTGAAGCAAAAAAGCATCCAGATTTTTTTCTTGATAATACAAGTAAAAAATAGTAATGTACACTTACTTTATTTTTCTTGTACATTTAATATGAGACCTCTCATCTTAACACATTTTCAAGGTATAATACAGTAGCATTAAGTATAGGTGTTTCTGCAAACGTGCTTTTTTAATGGAGGCACCCACAGAAGCTGGATGCAGAGACAAGCATGTTTATTGATGGGCAGGTGTTGAGCGCCCAGCACGTGGTTGTGTTGCTATAAAGACTGGTATGTGTGGGTCGCTGTAACAGGCTGTCTTTAACTCTTTTGGGAACATACCAAGAAGACTCACTTGGTCAAATGGAATTTCTATTTTAATTTTTTTGAGGAATCTCTGTACCAATTGCCATAGTGGTTTTATTATTTTATATTCCCACCAACAATGAAGAAGAGTTCCTGTTTTTCCACAGACTTGCTAGCATGTACTATTATTTGATCTCTTTATGGTAGTTTATTTTGGGATGGTAAGATAGAATCTTGGTATGTTTTTATTGGGTTCGAATTGTTGAGCTTTCTTCGTGTATTTATTTGCCATCTTATTCTGAGTTATAACTATTCCTTTCACTTGCCCATTTTTAATTGGATTTTTTGTTTTGGGAGGTATGATTTTCTTGAGTTGTTTATATTCTGGATACTACTCCTTTATGGGAAGTAGCCAGTAAGTTTTTAGGTTGTCTCTTCCCTTCTGTAGTTGTCTCTTTATGCTGTTAGTTGTTTCTTTTGCTGTGAAGAAGCTTTTTGATTTGGTATAATCCCATTTGTTGACTCTTGGTACTATTTCCTGAGTAACCAGGAATTTGTGCAGAAAGTCCTTTCCTACCCCTGTGGCATCAAAGCTCCATCTAGCTGGGCAGAGTGGCGCCCATCTGCAATTGCAGCACTTGGGAGGCTGAGGTAGGAGGATTGCTGTGAGTTTAAGCCCAGCCTGGGCTACATAGTGAGTGCAAGACAAGCCTGGACTGCAGAGCAACTGTCTGAAAAAGCGAAAGAAAGAAAATTATCTTCCAAAAGGGGGAAAAAAGAGAGGAAGTAACATGTGGTGTCACAAGATTCCCTAAACATTGAGTGTGCTAATAAAAAGTTTTCAGTGATACTATCCCTAGAGGATTAGCAGTACAAAGAACTCTACCCTTGCAAGTAAGTTGTTTTTGGTAATTTGCAAATAGCATGAGTATTCTAGAACATTATTAGGAAAAAAAACCCCAGAGGTATTGTGTGCCTCCATACTCTGTGTATCCATCCCGGAAATATAGTGAGGGACAAGAGCGCTAGGGTTTCTTCCTTTATAGCTTTCAAAAGTATTATGTGTCACATGCCACTTCTTTGTAGAGCATAGGATGATTTATTTCTATTTTTTGTTATGCTGCCCCAATCTAGTATGACTTTAAAGACTACATTTAAACACTTCATCCCTAAAGGAAAAGTAAGAAGTGTGGTTGACAAAAGCTCTCTGAGGGCTGGGGAGGTAGCTCTGTGGTCCAAGCCTGGCAAGTGCAAAGACCTGAGTTGGATCCCAGGTTCTGCACGCCTTGCTGGCCCCGGAACCCCAGGCATGTCCTGCAGGCACTGAAACCGGGCATGGTGGTGCCTGCCTGTAATCGCAGCGCTGGGGAGGTTGAGACAGGAGAATCACTACAAGGGCAAACTGTGTAGCGAGGCACTGTATCAACAACAGCAACAAGAAAAATAAATGAATAGAATGCTCTATGAGGCAGACGAGACTTTGTAGAAGGTATTGTGAAATAGGAAGAAAATGTTCAAGAGGAAAGGGGAACTAGGGAGGAGAGAGGAAAGGAAGGAAGTGGAAATGAAGGAAAGAAAATAGAAAAATGGAAACAAAGCTTTTGTAAATGAGGGGAGGAGGGTTTGAAGGGAGGGGTGGGAAAGAGGAGAAAAAGAATCAAGATATAGCATGTGTAGGTACAAACTGAATATGATGAATGTACTTATTAAGTATATCTAAAATATACCAATAAAATTAACTTTAAGGAAATAGAGACCTATTAGATGGGGTAGACATGGTGTGGGTAAGTGGAGCAAGAGAAGAAAACGTGTGAGTAGCAATATTAGTAAAAGTCAAGGTGAAGGTTTTACTTATGAATGAAAGTTTTGGTTAGGTGAACTACAGTAACACTTGATATTTCTCAAAAAATCATTACGTTTGGAAAAATTCATAATTTATTCTTTTTCATCATTTCAAAATCATCCAGTACTCAGATGTGGTGGCGCATACCTCTAACCCCAGCTAGTACTTGGGAGGCCGAGGTGGAGCACTGCAAGTTCAAGACCAGCCTGGGCAACTTAGCAAGACCCAAAGTATAAAAAAAATTAAAAAAATGAGAGGAGATGGAGCCGTAGCACTTGCTTAGCACGCCTCAGGCCCTTGTTCATCTCTGGTGCGGCACGTGCACAGACACACGTGCAGCCGTGTGCACACACATGCTAATAAAGAACGTAATTACGTTATAGACACCTGAGACTTCTTTTTTTTCCTCTTTAGATAAATGTGATGTTTTCCACTGTACTGTTAAAGCCATGCCACTGTGATTTGTGCTCCTACGTTAGGCACTGCACCATGCCGGGTAGAGGTTGAGCTCTGAGCTCAGATGGTTTGGGCATGGAGTTGTGAGTCTATCCCTTGTTAGCTGATGTGCTTAGGCAATTGCTTCTATTCTTTTTGAAAAAAAATGTGTTTATAAATATTATATATAGTGTTTAGAACACAGTAACAAATATTTATAATTAATTCAAATTTAGCAACTTATTTTCTGACCGATGTATCAGAAGTATATTGCTTTTCTTCTTTCTCTTTCTTTTTCTTTCTTTCTCTTTGCTTTCTTTCCTCCTTCCTTCCTTTTTTTCTCCTCTCTCTTCCACTCTCTTTCTTCAAACTGAACAACATCCTCAGCCCCTTTGCCTCCCAGGACAGTTATTTTACATTGTCCAAGCTGGCTTAAACTTACAGTCCTCCCGCCTTGGCCTCCCAGAGCGCTGTGATTATAGGCATGCACTACCACACTGCCTTTACTATTTTTTTTTCTGAGCCAAACTGTATCCAGCTTTATTAAAGATATTTTTCATAAACAATATCCCTTCTTTGCAGGGGCCTTCTCAGGCTTAGGCTCTGGCTTTGGAGGAGCTGGTTTAGCCGACAGCCTTGCAGATCTTTTCTGTGGCTCATCCTTCACCTTGCCTTTATCACCTTGAGCATCCCCTTCAGCCTTTCTCTTGGGCATGGTGGCCATGGCGGCAGGTCACAGGCGCTAGACATGAGATGCAGCAGCACGCAGCTGTGGGCGGCCCAGATGTCGTCCTCACTTCTTCTGGCTTTACTATTAGTGCTGCAATTTTTAACACTTTTCTGTAATTTGTTAAATCGTGGTATCAAAATAGTTTTCAGAGGGATGCAAAAAGTCTCCAGAAGGATAAAAAATAGTTTTCCTAGGATGCTTCATTAATTTTATCATTGAGGAGCAGGAAAATAATGGACATACAAGTATACAAAGTGAGAATCCCTGGAGATCCATTTCTCAGAAATGGAGTTAGATTTATAAGAATTCTTATATCCATTTGACAGAAGTTATAGCCAATGTATTGCAAAGATTCATAGATCCCACAGATATTTCTAGAGCACTGTCCATACTGTGCTAGGTGTCATGGGCACCAGGAAAGAGTCCATCCTGTCCCTGAGTTTATCTCAAAGGAAGGTGAGGAACAGTGGGGCTTAAAGCATACCTATCTTTTATAGTAAAATTATTTGAAAAATTGACACAAATTATGTATTTTGTCATAGTCAGATGTAATCACCTGTGCTCAGGAAGTAGAAATGATGATGAAGCAGTTTGCAGCCCAACTCGAACAACTAAAAATGACAGTGAAGTCGAAGACAGCCGTCCCAACATCTCAAGTCTTTGTAAGTGTTTGCCATCAACTTTGACCTACTTAAGGTGAATTTCCTTGGGCCCTACAAAAACAGATTCAAAGTCCCCATAATTACATTTAATTACTAAATATGTAACTAATTCTACATAAGTTGATCTTGTCCTTTGTGCATATTTTGTAGTGATGATCTGTTTTATGTCAAATGAAAGCATTCTCCTCCATTAGGGATTGAAAGTAAAGGAAATGCAGCCCTGGACTGTGAAAACCGTGCCATCTTTATTGGCTGTGGCAACAGGAATAATCCATAGCACAGGGCAGCTGGGGAGATAGCTCTGTAGAATAAGGGCTTGCCTGGCAAGTGCAAGGTCCTGAGTTCAATCCCCAGTTCTGAAAAAAAAAAAAATGCATAGCACAGGGCCAAAAATACATTCATAGTTGCTAGTCCCAAATGTCCTCTACTAAATGAGGAGGGGAGGAAGGGGTAGAGGGATGGGAAGGGAATGGGAAAAAATAAGTTGTATCACATGCAGGTACAAATTCTCTGTGATGAATGTGATCTTATATATATCTAAAGTGTACCAAGACAATATGATTGAAAAAAAATTTCTCTAGCACAGAGGTGATACACCTAGTGACCTTTCTCAAAGGACAAATAATGAAAATATTTATATTGTCTGCCATGCATGGACTTCCATTAGCTTTATATTATCTGCACCATTTTGTGGACAAACTTGGCAGCTCTTACCTGAGCAAGTAGATATAAAATACACAAGAAGTATTAGAGCAATTGAGACACGGGTGATTTCATTCTCAGTGTTTGGCTTTAAAAAACAAGAAACAGTTGATTTTTCTTTTGTTCTGTAAGTCACTGACCTTTATTGTGAATTAAAAACCACCTAAAATCTTTAACTTGCAACTCACAAGACATGTCCTGAAGTGTATCTCTGTACTTTCTAGGTTCTCATGGAACATTTATTGGTCCGATAAATCTCCTACAATGACTCATATGTAGCTTTGTTTTTTACTTGGTCTTTTCAGAAAAAGTGTTAGGGCTGGCCAGATAGCTCAGGGGATTAAAGTGCTTGCAAGCAGGCGCAGGGACCAGGGGTTCGATCCCTGGGCCTGCCATGCTGGCCCCACCCACGGGGCGCACTGAGAAGGCAATTGAGACTGGGCTTGGTGCTGCACATCTGTAATCCCAGCTCTTGGGAGGCTGTAAAGAGGCAGATCACTAGAATCTGATCTAGTAGTGAGATCCTGAACATCCTGTAGACCCTTCCCTAAAATACAAAAAAAAAAAAAAAAAAAAAAAGAAGTCTTTCTTAGGTGATGAAATACATTTGGAATTTTTGAGTAAATTATTATTTTTTTACTTTTCTTTTTTTAATTAATTTTATTGGGAAACAAATAGCAATGAGACAGTTTCAAAACCGATTAGTAGGACAGTTTTAATAATTAATACATTGCATATTGTTGTCTTCTTAGTGGTTATTCATAGTACAAGATGCAGATGTGGAATCCTGTCCAAACACTTTTAGTACAAATCTTTCTTCTCATTGAATTAAGAGAAAGTAGCTGTATATCTATCTTAACTATTTTGAATATAGAGATACAAAATGGTCCTTCATTTGTATCCCATTTTTTTGTTTAGTTTTGTCAGACATAGGTATTCCATTGCCATTAAAATATTGTAGGTTCATGAATTCAGCAAAATAATCCAATATAGTCCAATAGTCCATAATAGTAGTGGTTTATCCACAGGATTGACAATGTCAGAAGTTGTTGACTTGAGCTTTTTACAGCTCAGCATATTAACATGGCTTTACTTTTTATACCTCGTTTTTATACTTTTATGCTGGATGGTTAAGACCAAGATAAAGCAAGACCTATATAGAAAAAAATGTAACTTTTGTATCTGATAAGGTCAGTCAAATCCCCTCATGATTTACCCTGAAACCCTGTACCACAGTTTGTAGATCTTTTGTCAGTGTTGGCCATGTGGAGAGTCACAGCCATTGCTTGACCAGTTTGCTCTCTGTGAAAGCCTGAGAGAGTGTTTTCTCTCCATGTGACTCTCCTTAGGCACAGTCTACATCATCGATCACTCTCCTCTATGGCCCCATAATCTCCTTCATCAGAAAATTTGGCACACAACATTTTGGCCCTAGCCTTTCAAGGTCAGTGAGGACTTGAGACACAGGAGTAAATTATAACTTAAGTAAAATAGAAAGCTTTAAAATAAAACACAAATTTATTTTCTCATATAATTTATAAGTCAAATTTCCATCCAGTTGCTGAATTTCACACTTTTGACTTAAGGAAGAATTAATTTCTTTACCAATGATAATTATAATATGTATGTATGTATGTATGCATGCATTTTATGGTTTTTTGAGATGTAGTCTTGCTATACAGCTCAGGCTAACTCATGGAAATCCTACCTCAGCCTCCTGAGTGCTGGAATTACAGGTGTGCACCACTATACCCAACAACAATTGCATTTATTTTGAAGAGTGCAGTGGTTTATAATTTTATTACAGTTTTATTTTGAATATTTTCACTTGCCCCCAGCCCATCTTTATGGCCCTGGCTAACCTGTGGACCAGCTTTCAGGATGAAACTGTTCTGATTAGCATCCTCAGTAATTTGACCACTCACCTGGAGCCGTTCCTGGGCGCTCACGAAGCGCTTTTTCCCGAGAAAGTGATGCAGGGTCTTCTTGGTGATGTGACTGTGAAAACAGATGCGAATAGAATAGAAGAACACATGGGTAAGGGCAACCATTCATTATTTCTGCTTTTTAAAAATTACCTCTACCGATTTGATTTGAAACTGTCTCATTGCTATTTGTTTATCAATAAAATTATGTCAAAAAAAATTACCTCTAGAAAAATCACTTTTGTTTAACATTTTTATCTTTATCTTTCTGATAAAATATTAAACATCTTTCTTGTTATAAAGCATCAGTGCTCCCTATAGAAAATTTGGAAAACCAAAAATATATAAGCAAAACATCTTACTACCTAGCAGCAGCGATTCCTAATACCATTCTTCATGTTTTGGTTAACAATGATTTTCTCTGTGTGCACTTCTTTCCAGATTAATGATTTTTGATTACTGATGCCGTAGTAGAAAAAGAGATTAATTCCTGCCTTATTTGTTGAAAATAGAGCTCTACTTCATGTTATTTGTTAAATGTTGATTTCAAGCTGACATTTGTAAACCAATTAGTTTTATTGCTGTCAAATTTATTAAGCTGTTTTGTGCCCTTCAAGAGATGCATTCCTTTTTATTTTTTTAAGAAATGCTGTACATATCAGTAAATGTTTTACCTTTTGATCTCTTCCATCTTAAAGACAACTTAAAATTCATGAGGAATTCCAAAATAGACATGGAGTTTGAATTATCACCTAAAATTAAGATTTTTTTCCAGAAAGTAAAATTACATGATTCATGAATTTTTCAAATTGTATTTGATAAAACTATGAGTGATTTCCTTTTGTAAATTATTAGAAATTATAAAAATTGAAAACTCAGAGACTCAAAAGCATTCTTTTAGAAGTTAATGTTTTTACTACTCATTCCAGTTTATTAAAATAGCCCATGCAAGGGTGGGCCAGATAGCTCAGCTGACTAACGCACCTACTTAGGCAGAGCGCAGCAGCTGGGGTTTGATCCCCGGTGTACCGTGCTGGCCCCGCCCCCAGGACATGCTGAGATAGTGATTGAGACTTGGCGTGGTGTATGCGGCTGTAATCCCAGCATTTGGGAGGCTGAAAACAGGAAAATCCCTACATGGGATCTATGTAGTGAGACCCTGTAGGCCCTGTAGACCCTGTACCAAATACATAAAAATAAATAAATAAAATGACACATGCCGGAAATACAAAATGAAATTGAAAAGTTAAATTAAGTTCAACAGCAGTCATTAGCCCAAGCTATGTTGGCAAGATAGTATACTTGCAAGTTCTCAGATTTCAATGTGCCATTTCCCACCAGGTGTCGACTCCTTACTTAGTAGAACACCATTTATTAAGCTATTTTCAGGGACCGGGGAGATGGCTCAGTAGAATAAGCACTTGCCTGGCAAGCGTGAGGGCCTGAGTTCAATCCCCAGTTCTGCAAAAATAAATAAATAAATAAATAAATAAATAAATAAATAAGCTATTTTCCTGTGAACTGGGAGGGCCAGTATTCTGAAAGAATTTAATTTAACCTGCCATATCTCATCATTGCTGGAGGTCTTGGGCGTATCAGGAAACAAAAAACAGATTTTTTTTTTTTCTCTCCAAGTCATACATTCATTGTTAATTGTAACCACAAAATCATTTGGGATATCTGCTGTTGGGGTTTAGAGCCAAGCATGCAAGTATTAAAAAGCTGAAAATCTCAGGGAATAGTGTTATGTACATGTGTTGTTGGTATACAAATTCATTCAATTTGCTTACTTTTGGAAGTAAACCTTTTGAAGAAGAACTTTTCAAAGTATTAGGAACTGAAATTATATACCTTGTTTTTAATATCAAGTTAGTAAGAATTATTTCCTTGACTCTTGCTGCCTAGAATATTTTCTACTGTTTTGAGATACAGTATCTTAGTATATCTGATTCTAAATATTTTATCACCTAGTATGTTATTAAGAGCTCCATTATATTGAAAGAAACTGGTCATCTACGTGCTGTGGTCACACAGGAGCCAGTGTTCTACTCATGCCCATGCTCATTGGGCATTTGCTCTGCAGTAGGATTCAGCACTTAGTCTTTCAGAAGTGACTCAGTCAGTTTTTCTCTCTGGAGAAAGCTATATTCTGAAACGGCCTCTCCTCTCTGTTCTTCACTCTGCAGCAATGTTCTCCCTCCAAGTTTGCTCCAGCAAACCATGTTTACCTTGAACAGTCACGGGGTATTTGTGCTTCTTTCCATGAATAGCCCTTCTCAGAGTTCTGGCTTTGTGTCAAGTCTTTGTCAGGAAAAGTACAAAGCAAGAAAAAGTGAATGCTTCTAATGGGCTATTGCTGGCTTATTTAGGGAAGTTAATCTCACTTGAATGAAAGTTTTTCCCGTTTTCTTTCCTTTTAGAATATAGAGTCCATTTGTCGGATTTCAAAAAACTTGAATGGTTTTTCCCAGAAACAACAGCAAATTTTGATAAATTGTTGATTCAGTATCGGGGATTTTGTGGTTACAGTTTTGCTACAAGTGATGGGCTTCTCCTTCCAGGTACATTATTTGAAACGTTTTTTTCCCCTCTGTATAGAATGTGACTTTCACTCACTTGCTTAAAATTTTATAGAATCAGATGATAAACCAAGAAAGGAACACCAGAGGTGATCCAGACGCTGTCTTTGTCCTGCAGGTGCTCACCGTATAATCTGTAGATTGCCATGAAGGATAGATTATAAACAGTAAGGAATGAATTATGCACACAGGTTGAGTATCCTGAACCAGAAGTGCTTGGGACCAGAAATATTTCAGATTTTTTTTTAAATTTTGTGATATTTGCATATACGTAATGAGATATCTTGGGGATAAGACCCAAATCTAAGCACGTAATTAATTCAAGTTTCCTGGACATCATACATGTAGCTGGGGGTAATGTGGTACAATATTTTTTTTGCCTGTGTTTTCACTTGTGTGAACTGTCACGTGAAGTTAGGTGTGGAAGTTCCCGCTTGTGGGATCATACCAGACCTCAGATAACTTCAGGTTTTGGAGCATTTCAGATATCAGATTTTGGAATATATATATGCCATAGTATTAGAGAAAGGGGATGGTTCAAAATAAAGTATTCCAGGCAACTGATAAGGATGTATCATGTGCGGGGCCGGGGTGATGGCTCAGTGGAATAAGTGCTTCCCAGGCAAGCACAAGGGCCTGAGTTCAATCCCTGGTTCCGGAAAAAAAAAAAAAAAAAAGAAGAATATATCATGTGCCAAAGTGAATGCAAGATGAAGCAGTAATTACTTGACTGATATGTTTACTTAAAAATACTGTTTGTCAGTTTATACATACATAGGCCAGGATTTCTAAGTTCACCTCTTCTAGGGAAATGGCCAATATATATTTTCTATCCAGTAAATTTTCTCTGTGATGTAGAGATCACTGGAGTGTCAGCAAAGCAAAGAGTGAATCAGACACTGAAGTGAAATAAATTATTATCCAGAAAATGTTGTATAAATTGGAAATATTGCTAGGGCTGGAATGAAAGGAGTTTGAAACAATCATTTCTTTATACCATGAACTCCATCCTTCATTTCCTTTTTTATTTATTTTCTGTATTCCTGATATTTCATAGTTTCCAGTTGGGTTTTTTTTTCTTTTTTCATTAAGAAGCATTATTGGAATTTTGTGCATACAGGCTATAAGGGCACAGAAGTTGGCTCATTTTATGTAGTATTTCTTATAGTACAAGTGACAAAAGATTTACAATGGGGAACTGAGATAATAGAATTCTGAGGCTCTCAAGTGTTAGTTATATTTTTGTTATTGTGACAAAATACCTGATACACACAACTTAAAAGAGAAAGGTTTACTCTGGCTCATGGCTTTAGACACTACAGTCCATGGTTGGCTGCTCCAAGGGAGAATCAAGGCAGAGGCATGGCAGAGGAAGTCTGTTCATCTCATGGCAGGCAGGAAGCAGAGAAGGGAAAGAGCTGGGGGCAGGATGCACCCTTTCAGTTTATGCAACCTGCTCCCTACGCCTGACTTCCTAACAGCCTACTTAGCACCCTAAATTCAGTCACCTTCCAAAAGCCTCATGTCTGGTATATGATCCCTTTGGAAGTTATGTTTGATCCAAATCTTAATAGTCAATGGGGGCCAGAGAGATAGCTCAGTAGAATCAGTGCCTGCCTGGCAAGTGCAAGGTCCTGAGTTCAATCCCTGGTACCGCAAATAAAAAAAAAAGGGGGGACAGGGAGATGGATCAGTAGAATAAGTGCTTGCCTTGGCAAGCACAAGGGCTTGAGTTCAATCCCCAGTTCCACCAAAACAAAACAAAATAGTCAGTGACACTCAGGAGAAAATACTTCAGAGTCCATGCACAAGTAAGAAGCAATAGGGCCAATGAGATAGCTCAGCGGACTAAGTGCCTGTTTAGGCAAGTGCAGGGATGGGGTTCGATCCCTGGCACTACCTGCTGTGCCAGCCCCGCTCCCCGGATACGCTGAGCCAGCCACAGAGTCTGAGTATAGTGACGCACGCCTGTAATCCCAGCACTGAGGAGGCTGAGACAGGAGCATCTCTATGAGCCTGAGCTGCTTAGTGAGACCCTGTACCAAACACATAAAAAGTAAGAAGCAATGGAGTGTCTGCAGTTTCTTTGTTTTTCTTCCTCTCTCCCTGCTTTTTTGTTTTCTTGGGACACAAAGCACACAGAAAGACTTGCTTGTGGGGTGATGACAGAGGTAGCGTGATGCATTTGAAGAGGGCCTCCTTGGACTCAGGAAAGCCTGGCTTCTAATCCTAGTTTGTACCATTGCTGAACAAGGTGACCAGCATATCTCCTGCTGCATGTGGAACTCAGTTTACCCTTAGAAAAATTACAGGGCACAGGCAGGGGAGGGGGCTTGTATGGTTCCTTGCAGTTTGGACTTGCAGTTTCCTCTGTTTGGAAAGCTCTGCTCACTTCCCTCGCTGCAGGCCTTGCTTTGTCTCCTTAGTCTTTCCTAATCACCCAGATTGCATCACTCTCACCTCTTTGCTCTTCCTGTGTATTTGACCTGCTTCTCCCTCCCGCCTCCCTCCCTACCTCTCTGCCACCTTCCACTGGTCACTCTTTGGCCTTTGGTATATTTTGATTTGTTAAGAGCAGGAACTTTGTTTTCCTGTTTTCTTGTATTTACTTGATGCCAGGAACTCCTTCAATAAATGTGTGTTGAATAAATGAAATAATAAAAGAATAATGTTTATTATTATTGATGCCTATATAATTTGTATAAACGATATATTTTATAAGCTACAGTCAATGTCAATTTTTTTATACTGGGAAATATTTTATAACATGTAAATTCACTCTTAGAAGAGATGTCTGACTGTTGATAATTCTCACAAAGTTATTTTAGAAATAATCCTTTATGGATTATTTGGTTTGTTGCAGCGCATGGAAAAAATAATCCTTTAATATTTTGGCTAAATAGATTTCTAAAAGTCTGCCAAATGTCTTAGGTGACATTTCATAAGGGATTTTTGATTATCTTTCATCTAGATAGTGGGAAATATTTTATATAAAATATACTTTAAAACCACACTTTAAAATAAAGAAATTTATGGCTAGGGATATAGCTTAGTGGCACCATATATGCCTGGCAAGCACAAGGTCCTGAGTTTGATTCCTAGAACCAAAATCAAATTTAACAATTGTTTCACATAAAATATCATTTAATAAAATACATAATTTAGGGTTTAGGAGATAGCTCAGCAGTCTAAGCACCTGCCTGGCAAGTGCAAGGACCCGAGTTCATTTCCTAGTACTGCATGCCTGGACATGCTGTGCCAACCACCAAAACTGGGCATAGTGGCACCTGCCTGTAATCCCAGCACTGGGGGAGGCTGAGACAGGAGGATCACTACAAATCCAAGCTGCATATTGAGACCCTGTAACAAATGAATAAATAAATAAAAGATTAAAAATGATAAAATACATACTTTATAAAAACAAAATTGATAAGTTAAAAGTATATAGGGAATGGCTTTATGGATACATTACAAACATAGAATCCCTTAATATTTTATGCCAAATTCAGTTATTTTTTCTGATTTTCAGGAAATCCAGCAATTGGAATTTTGAAATACAAAGAAAAGTATTACACTTTCAATACCAGAGATGCTGCATATTCATTTGCAGAAAATCCTGAAAACTATATTGACTTAATTAAGGAAAAGGCCAAAAAAAATGCCGAGTTGATTCAGCTTCTGGAGCTTCATCAACAGTTTGAAACATTGATTCCGTATTCTCAGGTAAGCAGGTCAACATAAAGAACTGATGACATTTAAAATACATTGTATTTAAAAAATTTTTGTGTTTTTAAGAGTAATTCCCAAATCCAGGCAGTGATAAGGATAGATGAGGGTTTTCACAGGTATGTGAAAAGAACTCACATCTGAAGATGGAAACTAGAGGAATCCACAAAGAATAATGAAAACAAAATATGGAGTCAAACTGACAAATTAACACACTCAGAGAAAATCTGGAAAAAAATCTGAAAGAGAAATCTGTAGTTGAATAATTAAAATTATAATATTTAGAATCTAAAATTAGAAGTGCTCAACACGGATAACACAGATGGTAATTTAATGATCAGACTTGTAAAACAGTTCACCAGGGTTGAATCATAGCAGGCTAATGCTAACGTACCAGAAAATGTATCTGAAGCTGTGTTGCTTGTGCGTCTGCTGTTCCTTAATTGAATCATCAGACATCTGACAAGCCAATTACTATGCGCCCGGAATTATTCCTGATATGGAAATTATCAGTAAACAGAATTTTTTTTTTTTTTTTTTTTTTTTTTTGTGAAACCAGGGATTGAACTCAGGCCCTTGCGCTTGCCAGGGAAGTGCTTATTCCACTGAGCCATCTCCCTGGCCCCAGTAAACAGAATTTAAAAGTTTCTACTTGATGGAACTTACCCTATTGCTGTGTAACCTTCTTTCTCTTTCATTGTCATTGTTCACTTTTTATTTGAACCTTCAGGCTCACCTCTTTCCTTGAGTTCCTCTTTTTTTGGGGGGGAGGGGAGGGTCTACAGTTCAGGGTCTCACTACTAGGTCAGACTGCTACTGATCTGCCTGTTTGTAGCCTCCCAAGAGCTGGGATTACAGGTGCGCACCACCACGCCCAGTCTCAATTGCTATCTCAGCGTGCCCAGGGGCAGGGATGGGCTGGCACAGCAGGCCTGGGGATCGAACCCCCAGCCCCTGCACCTGCTTGCAGATGCTCTAATCTGCTGGGCTATTTGGTGGGCTCTGAGTTCCACTTTTAAAATAGACTGAAATACAAAATATTTTGAAATACGTACTTGAGCATGTTTGTTGTTTGCTCCTTTTTTAGGTGTGTGTGTGTATGTGTGTGTGTGTGTGTGTGTGTGTGTGTGTGTGTGTGCAAGGTCTCACTTCGCAGCTCAGGCTCATAGCAATCTTCCTGTTTTCAGCTTCCCTAGTGCTGGGATTACAGGTGTGTGCCACCGCACCTAGACTTCATCGCTGGTTCAGCGTGCCTGGGGGCTGGGGCTGGCGTACCACGTGTGCCAGGGATCGAACCCTGGCCCCTGCGCTTGCCTCAGTGCAAGTCCACTGAGCTATCGTGCTGGCCCTCCTTTTTTTTTTCTTAACATTTTAACTACAAGCCAGGCAGGCTTTGATCCCACTGATCTGGGCAGCAGGGACCAAGCAGTGATTAGGAAGAGAACTGACATCCTGGTGATGTGATTGCAGAGGGTGTTCTGAGCACAGGACGAGAAGATCAGGAAGAAGCTAAGAACTGAGTCATCGGGGACAGTGGGAAGCACAGCAGGCAGGCCCTGGGCAGCTCACCTGGATAGCTGGGAGACTATGCACTCTCTATGTTTCTTTATTTTTTATTAGGTGTTTGTGGTACCTAATCATTTCATTTGTCATGGGGAGCTGGTACATGCACACGCCACTTCCTCATTCTTTTCGCCCCTACTCCTCCCAACCCTCCCTGCTCTTCCCTTTCTTGTTCCCCTTCTCATTTCTAAAAGCTCTATTTCCATTTTGCTCTTTCAGTTCTCTTCTTGTGCCCTTTCTCTTCCCTCCCTCCCCTTCTTCTATTTCTTGTTTCTTTTTCCATCTGCAAATGATCTCCCTACTTACTATCTATCTTTTATTTTGCTCTTTGTGTATAATTTAGATTTCTCTTATTAGGAGGCCATACAGTTAATAATTAAACTTGTGTGTCTGATTATATTTTACTTAATATTGTGTTACAAGATGGGCCCATCACCTTTGAACACCTCAAGTTTATCATTTTTATGGCAGAGTAGTATTCCCTTGTATATAAATACCACATTTACTTTACCCATTCATCTGTTGATGGGTATATAGGCTGTTTCTAAGATTTAGCTAGTATAAATAGCTATAAACATGGGTATGCATGGATCACAGTATACTGACTCGAACTCTGTGGAGAAAATACCCAAAAGAGAATTACCCAGGAAAAATGCAATTTCTACTTTGAGTTTTTTGAGGAATCTCCATAATGATTCCCTTAGTGATTGTGAAAGTTTACATTTCCACCAATAATGAGGAAAGATTCCTTTTTCCTACAACCCTATCAACATTTATCATTATTTGATTTTCTTTTTTTTTTCAAAGTTTTATTGATAAACAGATAGCAATGAGACAGTTTCAAATCAAATCGGAAGTACAGTTTCAACAAATAATACACTGCATATATTCT